ACTCTTGGCTGACGTGAAAACTGGTCACAATATACCCCCTCTCGTCCACCACTAGCCCCGACCCGTGACCCAACTCTACCAGATCTCTGTCCACGTTTGGCACCGCAACCATGATTTTGACAAAATAATGGGACATCTCATCGCAAATGCGGTCAAAACCTTTTGGAGTTGACATCAATTGTGTGTTTCTGAGCCCTAATTGTGGCCTCATTTGAATGTTTGTGACAATTGTTTGGTGTTTGTGTTGTCTTTCTGTCATATGTTTGCCGATTATTATGGGAATCGCTATTAACAGTGGATTACAGACAAACCGTTGCTTAAAATAAAGTGGAAATTGTTTTATTTTTTGCATAGTTTTTCTCAAACCATTGATTGCTGTAACAGTTGTCATAACACCTAAAATATGTGACAATACATTTGAATGAACACTAAAGCAATGCTGGATCTCATGAGTGATTGTTTTACCGGTCAATGTCTTGACGAAGACATGCATTCCTCCTCTCAGACGAGTGACCAAATGAAGAGTTGAGTCCTTTTGGATATTATAGTCCGATAGTATTTTGTGATCTTCCAGTTGTCGGCCCGCATATATGATTCTTTGTTCGGCCGGACGAAGGTCGGGTCTCTTGTCCTGAATTTTGGCCTTCAGAGTCAACACCGTGTCGTCCGACTCGACCTCCAAAGTCATTGTAATGCCCACCAAATCCTTTACAAAGATTTGCATTATATTTGTAATAAATTGTGAATTAAATTCAGTTATAATTGACTTTTAAATCCAGTTTTTTATTAATCATGAATTTATTGTATTTAAAGTATCGTTAATAAAGGTTTCGAATTTAAAATACCAATTGAGACAATTAACTACTAATTAATTAAATTGTTATAAATCGTGAACTAATTAGTATTTAAATTTTGATATAATTCTAATTGTCTCATCAGTTAATAATACAAATTAATATCCAGGTATTAATTTCCCTTATTTTTAAAATTAAAAACTTATTCTCGAGAATTGCTAATTAAGATTCATTAGGAAATTCATTCGTAATTAAGATTTAAAAGTTTTATGACATTTATTTTATTTCATAAAACTAATAAATTACAGATTTTTCAAAAGAATAACATCTTCTGTTACCATAACTTATTTCTCGTCATTTCACCCATTGTTATAATTTATAACTTATAAAGTATTCAAATATCCATTAGATATCTATTGTAAGCTAAATAACACTGATTTGGATCATAGATTAAGATGAAATTTAATTCATAATTTAATCTAAGAATCTTAGAATCTAAAACTAAAACTAGAAAATGTTTACTTTAAAATAATGTTTTAAGTAACATTTCAATTAAATTATATAATTATATTTGTATTACATATTTGTAATTTTATTAAAACTTGTTTAAAAATGATTAATTCTCAGAATTAGTAAAACATTTGGTGTGCACTCGAGTGTAACATCAAACCAACATAAATGAAATAATTGCTTAAAAATATTTATTTTATAACACAATAATTCGTATCATAAAATTATTACTTAAGAAATACTAATAACAAATGCAAATCATATTTTTATTGCACTAATTTATAAAATAAAGTTACATATAAATTGTTTATGGTGATCTTAATTAAAATTCAATTATTGGTAAATTATTGTGTGAATGAAATCACATGTTTCTTACAAGTAACAATTGATTATACCTCGTTCATTTAGTGTCCTGTTTAGCTCAAGTGGTTCAAATTCCATGTGAATTGGCATAAGATCTATCACTTTTAAGGTAAAAGTTTTAACATTATATAAAGTAACTTTAACGTTAAACACAAAATACATTTTATTAAAACTCATTGTAAATTTACTTTACTATTTTAAATTTGCATTAAGAAATAAATAACTTAATGGTTGTAAAGTTTAACCCATTATGTTAAATATGAAATCAAAAAGTAAGTAATACTAAACTTATAACAAATTATCAATTATTTAAAATAAAGTATAATTTCTAAATCATTTACAGAAATTTTCATTTGGACGGTTATTACCACAATAACTGTAGTGAATATAAGTGATGTTTATAGCGATTGTGATCCGTGTAAATGTCAATACGATAACAATTATAAGGGATATACCATGAAATGTATGGGAGATTCAGACATAGATTTGGCAAAAGTATTTGAGACCTACACTAAGAATCTGACAGAAACTCAAAAACATTTCAAAATGTTTTACTTTAATAACACATTCGTTACCGAAATCGGCGACAATTCATTCAAAAGCTTGACGTTTGAGTGGATAAGCATTGAAGAGGCCATGAGTTTGGAGAAGATCTCGAAGAATGCGTTCAACAATGAGACCAATTATGCGACAAAATCTATAAGAATTCATTCAAATACTAAACTCTCAAATCCTGACAACAGTTTGTTTGAGGCGTTGAGTAAATTTGTTAACATTGAAGACATCGATCTCTCGTATAATAACTTACAGCAAATACCCGCCAATGCTTTTAAGCCAATAAATGGCTATCAAACCAAACTCAAAGACATTATAATTTGCGACACAACTATTGAAGTATTGGGCGCTAAAGCCTTTTGGTCGATACCCGCTCTCAACTCACTTTCCGTTTACGACACGGCTATCAGTCATATACCGGACGACGCGTTTGCCTTTGAAAAGCCTTCAAACAAAACTTTATATATCTTTTTGAATCTAAACAAATCACTCAATAGTTCCAGTTATTCGCCAAAGAGTTTTGCGGACACTCAACGCCCGACTGAACTAGAGTTGGGACACAAATACACTCCGAGACAAGTGGTATATTTGGATGAGAAGACATTCCGGCCATTCCTGGAGGCAAACAAAGCCAATAAAATCAATTTAGAGGGCGAAGAGTTTGATTGCGAGGATTGTCGTACGTATTGGTTGTTTAAGGATAAGACAGGCCTCTCTCTGAGACTTCAAGATATCCTTTGTTCAAATGGTAACAAATTTAACGATACAAACAATTTCTCTAAATGTCAATAATTTTATGATTAAAATAAAATTTTTATAATTGAGTGTTTTTTTGTCTAAAACATAAAAATGATTCAAATAAAGTTAATCAATAAAACAAACTAAATGTTATATTCAGATTGAGTTCTACACAAATGATTTGAATTTTTATTTTTAATAAACTAAAATAGTTTAAAAAGCGACAATCGATTAGTATTTAAATTGTGACAATTATTACATTGCATTCACTTTAATCATGTTCGTTTTAAGTATTAGTGGTATGTCTTTATCACCTCTTTTCACAGTCAATATTATATCCACTAATTCTCTCTCTTTCATCACTTCTGCCATCAATTCTTCCACACAATTGACAGCAATTTTATTCACTTTTAATATTATATCAAATCTCTTTATCGTATCTCTAATTAAATAATTGGTGCAAATTATTAAAATTATTAAAAATCTACAAATTTAAACACAAATTATTTAGAATTAATTATAAAATGTCATACAATGAAGAATCTTTACACCAATTGCATGAATACCAAACCAATACTCCATTGTATGATATATTACCACCAAATGTCTTCGTTTCGGGTCTTTCTCTCACTTTATCCCTAATCTCAGCATTAAATGGATAAACAATAAGAGCCAATGATTTATGCATTTTAATTGTCTTTTCACTGATTTTGTCGTTTATATAACTTCTCTCAAAAGCCATTCCTTTCTCAACAAACTCTAAAACACATAATAATTATTGAATTAAATATAATTTACACAAAAAAATAAACAATACTTTTGACATCAGCGGCACAAATGGCGAGACCAATGAGTTGTGGCTTAAGACTGGCGAAGTGAACGCCAACCAAATGGCCGCTCATATTGACCACCGGTGCGCCCGAAAAGCCGGGAAACACTCGCAACGTATGACAAACACAATTATCGTTGAGTGTATTGGATCGGGACATACCCGCAGTCTTAACCCCACCACTGATGGCCACACCGTCGGCCAGAGAGTACTCGATTCCCTTATTGCCGACAATAACCAGGTCTTCGCCCGGTGTCACTCCCATCTCACCTAAGGGTACGGTCCGTAACCTTCCCGGTCTCATCACAAACGCCGTCCGTATGAGTCCCAAGTCGAGCACCGGATCCACGTATACCACTTGTGCCACTATTGGTGGTAAAGCACCGACACTATCGTCCGGTCGCCTCTGAAGACCCTCTATTATAATCATTGAGAAGTGACGACAAACGTGACAATTGGTCACAATATATCCCCGACGGTCGACCACAAGCCCAGTGCCCACACTCTCTATTGAGTCCCTTAACCTCGAGTTCTTTCTGCCGGTCGTTATCTTTACGACAAACGGCAACATTTTGTCGTACACTTCGCCCAAACTCCTGTCTCCACTCATCAATACATTTCTGATCCTTAATTGTGGTTTCATTTGAATGTTTGTTGCAATCAATTGTTGTTTTCTATGATTTTCTGTCAGATAAGTGCCGATAAGTAACGAAAACGAAAATATTTTTACATTCCTATGATTTGAGTAAAATAATTAATATTTTAAAAATATATACAAATATATTAATTATACTCTAACTTATACTTCATTTTATCACACAATTGCACTAATCTATACATTGCTTTAATATATAAAGTTTAAATTAAATTAAATGTCAATCATTTTCAAATAATTAATAGTTCAAAATTTGCAATTATGAATCAGTTAGAAGTTTATCAAAATTTAAATACTAATTATTTCACGATTTATAACAATTTAATTAATTAGTAGTTAATTCTCTCAATCGGTATTTTAAATTCAAAACCTTTATTAACGATACTTTAAATGCAATAATTTAATGGTTAATAAGAAACTGGACTTAAAAGTCAATTATAACGGAATTCAATTCACATATAATTAAAATGCAAATCTTTGTCAAGACTTTTGAAGGAATAACAAAGACTCTGAAGGTCGAGTCGGACGACACCATCGCGACAGTGAAGGCCAAGATTGAGGACAAATTGCCGAAACTCTCTCTGAACGACATGAGAATCATATTTGCCGGCAGACAACTCGAAGACCACAAAATTCTTTCCGATTATAACGTCGAAAATAACTCGACTCTCCATTTGGCCGGTCGTCTGAGAGGAGGAGGAATGCATTTCTTTGTCAAGACATTGACCGGTAAAACAATCACTCATGAGATCCAACATTGCTTTAGTGTTAATTCAAATGTTTTGTCACATATTTCAGCGGTTCCAGTGATTTACTTAATGAATAGTAAATATGATTTGTTGGCAACCATTCAATACCGACGATCATTGTGTCCAAAAAGTGCTCGAATGGCAAACGCGTCCACAATATTTACGGATCAATTGTTTGAACCATTCGTTGCCATCGGATATCACTTTGAAAAGACAGTTCCTAAAGAGTTTGAGGGCAACCATAGGGTGTTGTGCTCTGGCGTTATCGTCACCGACACGGGTCTCGTCGTAACCGTTGCCAACACTATCGCCAACTTTAATACAGTAAATGTTAGACTCTTTGACGGCCGGCAAGTGTTGGGACGAGTGGTCTGTAAGTTCTCCGAACAGGGATTAACAGCCATTCAATTGATAGCCGATAATAAAGCAATCCATTACCGATCGGTCACATTGAATACCAGTGGTGGGCAACGAGTGGGCACTCCTGTATACGCTGTGGGAAACGTGTGTTTTGGTGGCAATAATAGGGTTACAACGGGTATGGTTTGCGGTGAGGGAACAGTTGGCTCGTCACTCAATCTCCTCCTCCCAGGAGTTGTCTGTACACCACATTCAGCACCGGTCAGAGCGGGCGATATGGGCTGTCCGGTGATCGATACGGCCGGACACGTGTTGGGCATAACGTGCCATCAAAAGGACAGTCATTGCAATTATTACATCTCTTCCCAAGACATCAAAAGTATGCCAAAAAATATACTGAATTTTTTTTTGTGTTAATTACTTGTAAAACATGTGTAGAGTTTGTAGACAAACATAACGTTAATCTCGATAAACGGATCACCGATTTGTCTCAATCTTATGGTCTGATCGCCGAATGGATGGATTCGGCAAATAGGGATCGGTTGGCAAAATGGGCTCAACTCGAGGGCAAACAACTTTCTAATGTCAGTCAAGGAGTGGTTGTGTTGGGCTTTCATCGGGGCGTCAATACAGACAAGTAATCGTTAAATACTATAATTATTGTCGAAATTAACATTAATTTGTATTTATATGAAACACAATAATAGCTCAACGATTGGTAGGTTTGATGTGATCTCTGAAATAAATGGACACAAATTGCTTCAAAAGGACGATGTCTTCGACGCCCTCTCCAACCAAACAAACCAATTGAGCGGTACTTTCGGTGTACTGAAGGGTCGGTTTGTCACTCGTATAACAGTTACTAAAACTTCATTCAACTGGTCTTTTGTTTAAATTTTTAATGTTAATATTGATTGTAATTTTCTCACAATTATTACCCAAATATTAAAGTTTAAGTAAATTACAAACAAAT